GCAGCAGCTAAAATCAACAATAAACCTTGCAGAGGGCAGAAACTGCATCACCTGCCCCCTGACCATCCTACTGCATCAGCTGTGGGGGTCAGGGGTCCTCCCCACAGTTCATGGTCATCCTGGAGCTCAGCAGGGGCCGGAAGAAATTTGCATTCAGCCTAGTCTAAGCCTCCTGGGCTGACTGCGGCAGGGGAATTTCTCCTTCATGTCCACCCAGCTGGGACCTCTGGATCCCTTTTGAACTAACAAGAGATACCAACTGAGTGAAACTCAACAACATCCTGAATGCAGCCACTCCATCTGTGGGCCACGTATGTGCTGCTCCCATCCTCTATGCAGGGCTGAGGAATCCGAGGCTCAGAGACAAGAAGGGCTGTGCCCAAAGTCACCAAGGGAGTCAGTGGCCCCTCCCAGCACTGTTCGCAGTATCCAGAATCCAGACTTTTTAGCTGCAACTAGTTTCTTCTTGGGAGGCCTGGAGGCACAGTGGACTGCTTAACGTCAGCAATTCAAAACCATCAGCTCCTCCTGGAGAGAAAGATGAGGCTTTCTCCTCCTGCAGAGGAGGCGGCTGCAGCCACAGGAGCGGGGGCACCAGGAGGTGGGATTGGCTGGATGACAGTGAGTGAGCCTCCGGTGGCATCCCAGCCCTCTCAAAGGGAAGAGAGCCGAGGAGCCCGCCCCGGACACAAGTTCTGCTGACCACGAGTCTGGTCCCAGTCTTCCCGCCCTCGTGTCGCAGTCTCGGCCCCTCTCGGAGCAGCTCCTTCCACACACTGCCAGCGTCAGCCCCGAGAAGGCGGGGATCCTGAGCGCTCTGCAAGGACGCTGGGACAGCCTTTGCTATGTGACTTCCTCAGCACAGCGACCCTTACACACTTCTGATTATAGCTTCTTTTAAAAAGATAAAGGTTAAGTTTTTTTCTGAGCATAAAAAATATTTATCCTAGAAAAAAATTTTTTTTAATTACTAAAGAAAATTTGCCCAAAAATCCTACACCCCAGAGACAATCAAGATAGAGGATAATATGCATTTTCATACATACATGTATGTTCGTCTCTAGAATCCATTTGGATTCCTTTAATTTAAAAAAATCTCACTTAAAGAAAAAACTTTAAACTCCTGCTCGCACCTCAGTGCCAACGCTCCTTAACCGTGTGCTCCAGGTGAGCAGGCACGAGCCCCAGCCGCCTTCTGCTGGTGCTCCAGCAAGAGAGGCCCCAGCTTCACTTTCCAGAGGGCTGAGGTTCGAGTGCGGTCCATTCTAGCACAAGCTCCATGCCCTGACTTTCTAGTTACTTAAGTACCAGTCTAAGATGCTGCCTGAGGGAGGCCTCCTCCTCTCCTGGGAAGCAGAGTGTGCTGGGGGCTCTTGCTCCGCAGGCTACAGAGGAGAGCGCAATAGCAGGCAGTCGGCCCGTCCATACGGCTCCACCCAGAGGATCGATCCCTGGCTGCTTGTTTCTTAGAAGGCCCTGGCCCAGGACCACCAGCCTGCCCTCATCTGGGACCAGGGACAACAGGAGAAGGTCTTTCAGGCAGCTCCTCCTTAAAGACCCTCAATAGCAGATCAGCACCTGCCTAGTTCGGGAGGCTGCCTGGCTCCAACTACAGCCCTGCGTTTGCCCCTCCTCAGCCCTGCAGGCCCTGTGACCTTGCAGAACCCGGGATGGCTGACTGGATGGGAGGATGAAGCGCAGAAGAGGAGGGTTTCCTTTTGTTCCCCACAGGAAGGGCAGCGGTGGGCAGAAATGGCCACCCCGCTGCCTGACCTGCCCCCTCAGAAAGTAGTGCAGCGGGCCGGCTGGGCTCAGAAGCTCAGCAGAGGCAGTCTTCAAGGCTGGCCACTGCACGGAAGCACTGAGCACAGCCTGGCCTCCCGCTGCCCCCCAACAGCTGGCCACTGGGCTGAGCTGTCACTGCGTGCAAAAAGGCAGGGCCAAAGGATCCCATCCTTGGCAGGGTGATAGAAACTCTCCTGCTTGTCCTGCTCACAGTGGCAAACCTAGCGATTAAGATGTGCCCTCAAACCAAGGGAGGTTTGTGTAGTGGCAGTGGGGTCACTGGCCAGGGGACTCCCAGCCCTTCATCTTGGTTTCTGGCTTCGCTCCTCTTTCAGGCCACCAGGGCTGGGGACCTGGCAGGTGAATCCCTTGAAGCTTGTGGCCCTCTAGGCTTCAGCGATGTCTGTTAAGCACTGGCCCCACCCTATTGGGCCTCCAGGTAGAAAGGAGAAGCCAGCAGCCTCCTCTTCTCTCAACTATCATTCCTCTGTGCAGGGGCCAGCCCTCTCTTGCACCCCTGGCTCAGGCTCCAAGGCTTCAGTCCACTCATGCAAGTGCAATGGTGCAGAGAAAGCGACATTCTGGACTCATCCATGGGGACAGTTATTGAGAACTCCAGCAGCATTGGAGGAAGGCTCTGCTTTGCTGCTAGGTGCTTTGGAGGCTCTTTTCCGAGGCTCCTAGGGAAGGGGGAAATCTATCCCTTTTTATCAAGTGGGAGCGACCAGAGCTAAGCAAGCACAGGAAGCTGGGGGAGGGCCCAATGGAGCCAAGCGTTGGGTGGGGGAAGGTTAAAGATGAAGGAGCCTCCAGGTGGTAAGATGAAGCCCATTGAGCTGAGCGAGGAAACAACTCTCCCACGGAGAACTCAGCAAAGTCTAGAAGGCTCACGTGCTTTGGAGGGGGTGGCTGTTCCCGGTGAACATGAAAAGGGGCTAATGCGTGGTGGAAATGGAGACTCATGGGGGCCACTGGAGTTGGAGGCCAAAGGGGCACTGGGAAGGCATAGGGAATGCTAGGAAAAGCCATCACTGCCCACTGGCATATCCTACAGCAATGAGGGGTTGGGCCTAAAGCTAGGTCTGGGGGGAGGGGGTGATGAGAAGCAGGGCTGTCCCGGGGCAGTGGAGAGCAGGCTGGGCAGCTGACTGTACAGAGGAGCTTGCTGGGAGACCAGGCAGGGCTTGGCGGAGATCCCATCCCAAAGGCAACTACCGGAGACATTCAGGAGGGCAGTGAAGTGCTCCCTTCTAAATCAGAGAGCGGAACGTGGAAGTGCTCCAGCTGACGGTGTTCTGACTGACGTGAGCACAGCATCACCTCCTGGGAGCACACAATTCCCTCCTCCTTCCTTGGTCCTCTAGTCTGGGTCTTGGGTGCTTAGCAGGAGCTCTATCTGCTACATGTCCAGTAAAGAACAGCTACTGAATGAGTGAATGAATGATGAGAAAATGAATGGACACACACACAGGTGCCGGTGTAGTCGACAGGCAGGATACATTGGCACTATGCCTGACTTCCCAGTGAACAGCCCCTCATTGATTGTGGCTTCTCTGTAAGCCCTCTCTTCTTAAGGTCTCCCCAGGAATCTCCTGACTTGGGCTGTCTTGGGGGTGGGGTGGGCAGTTTGGGTTCTGGAGTCTGGCCCTGGTAGCTGTCTGGTCTTCATCCCTACCACTGTGGTGCCCAGAGTGAGCTCAGTGGGGTCTCCTTGTCTGAGACCTGACATGGGAGGGTGATTGCCCCTCCAGGAGGCTCAGTCCGGATCAGCCGGTGAGCATCTCCGAGGGCTCTCAGCATCCTTTCCTCCCCTCCACTTTGAGCTCCCAGGCGCACGGAGAACCAATGAACGAGCCCTCCCTGATACAGATGCAGGCCTGCCTGGGGGCCAGTCACTGTAGCCTTCACAGCCTGCTCTCTGGAAGATGAAGTGATGAAGAGGTTGATGAGGAGGTTGGCCCCAGCTCTGCCATGTTCCATACAAGGCTAAAGCAGAACACAGCATGTCACCTCTCTGAGCCCTGCTGTCCATGTAGAGACAATGAGAAAATGAACAGCTACTGTGTGTGACTGTTTAAGACAATGCACGTACAACCGCGTCTGGCACACAGAGGATGCTCACCCAGTATCGGGGTCAGCACAGAGGATGCTCACCTAGTATCGGGGTCCCTCTGCTGTGGGAGGATGTGCAACATAGGGGATTTACATGCACTTTGGTCATTTTATGGTTACAGGGACTGAGAGGGACAGAAGTGGAATGCATATGTGTGTGTGTGTCTGAGCACATACACGTATGAGTGAGTATGTGTTTATGATCATGTGTATATGTGTGTGTGCACACGCACGTGTGGGAATATATGCATGTGTATGCTTGAGAGCATGCACATGTAAGAGGACATACACGCGTGTGTGCACTCACACATGCATGTCCAACCAGTGTGTGAGTCTATGTGTGAGTGTGTGAGCAAAGTGCAGAGGGCCCGGATGCTGGTTTCGGGACAGTGCAAACCTACTTCTCTCTGACACTCAGGGTTGCTGCCCGGCTGCCAGTCTCCCTGCAGTCACACTGACGCTCACCACTGTCAGGCCATCAGTGCCAGGCCCAGGGCCAGCACCACCAGCACGTGCCTACGTGATGGGTGAATTCCTGAGCATGAGGAAGACAGGCTCCACAGGGAACCAGACTCTGGGCGAGGCTCCACCAGGGTACATGGCAGCTGTGACCACTTTCCTATCGCCAGCACCTCGGAGGACGGGCACTCATGAAACACAAGTGGGGGACAGACAGCACAAGGCCTGGGGTCATGTGAGTACAACACTCTCACAGCCCACCAGGTGGAGCCAGGTGCCCGTCTCAAAATGAGGCAGATTCTCAGGCTTGGGTTTCAAGAATCCGTGTCTGAGTCTGCATTCCAAGGCCTCCTCCTGGTGCTTGGCTCAAGGAAGAGGTTGCAGGCTGCTGGGCAGGCTCACAGCTAAAATAAGGGGTGGGGAGGCTCAGAGCTTGGGGACTGGGACCCCTCACCCTCAGGCCCATCTCATGCTTCCTTCCTTCCCCCGACTCCAGCCGAGGCCAGAGGCTACAAAGCAGTCCTCCCCTAAGGCTGGGTCAGAGACGAGTGGTAGGAGACCTGTCCCTGGCCGGAACCTATTTTCAGCTTCCTTGGGCCCTAAGTACCTCCCTGGGAGGGAGGCTTGGCTGAGGCCACACTCACCTTTCCAGCCCTGAAGACATTTCTTCACTAAACTCTGAGCTCTCACTACTGCCTGGAAAAGGAACACAGGTCAGTGAGCAGGGAGGTCTTACAGAGAGGGGCTGACCCTGCTTGCGGGACCCATTTGCCTCTCTGTCCCCAGGCCCGGGCCCCTGCCCACACAGACGTGCCTGAGGAGAGGTGGCTCCCTGCCTCTGGAGGGGGCACCTGCAGGAGCACATTGGCGGCTGCTGTGTCGGCCCTGCTCTTAGAGAATGAAAGAACAAACGCTGCTCCCCGGGGGCCTCTGCTCCCTTCCCCCCATCCCAGAACGCAGCAGCTGCCTGCCCACTGGTGGAGTGGGGTCCGGCCTGCAGGCTGTCTTGGTCTGACTGAGCCCCACTTCTGCTTCCCTTTGGCACCGGTGAGGACAGAGGCAAACACGAGTTCCTCTCTCTCAAGGGCCAGGAGCTGGAAGGGACACGGGTCAGTCTGCTACCGGACAGAAACTCTGTAGCTGTGCTCCCGCCTCCCGTGGGCCTGCCCCAATGGGCTTCCCCGGAGCTCGCCAAGTCGAGGGCAGTAGAGGTTTTCTCCTGCCACTCAAAGCAGGCAACAGGCCAAGAAGCCTTTGTATTCTCCCTCACACCTCGCGGCTCCTTGGTTGAGCTCGCCTAGCCTGGGTCGCTTGCTGGCACCAAGGCTGACAGTGGGAAGGGAAAACAGAGAAGCTGCAGGACCCTGGCGCCTCAGTCTGACCACCTGCCCTCCTTGCAGGATGGGCAGAGCAGCAGCTCAGTTCCCCAAAAGTGCACGTGGACACACAGCCAGCGCACTGCAAGGCGTGCAGCTTCAAACGGGGAAAAACATTTGCGTTTGCGGATGAGGAAGGGAGACCTACACCATCTCGTGATCTCCTGCTTGGACACAGGCAGCATCTGACCCCGTTTTCGGTGTGCTTCAGGAAGGGCAGGCCCGGCACTGGGCACAGCTCAGAAAGTTTCCTGGACACCAGACAGCTGCTCTGCTCCACAGCTGACCACACTTCAGCCTGCATTTCCCAAGGTGGGTGCTGTAGAACCCCGGGCCCCGTAGGGCGCACCGGGGAAAAAGAGGTGTGTGGCCAAAGAATGTGGGAGCACTGCAGACCCAGTGTCTGCTGGAGGACTCACAGTGCACACCAGCATGTGAAGGTCTCTGAGAAGAAGCCTGCTTAGCTGTGATCAGCAGAACCCAGACCTCTTCTGCCAAGGCACACCTAGGAACCCTGGGTAGCATTCCTGACCAGATCCAGACAGGATGGCCTCTTCCGGGGACTGAAGGTAGGCCGGGAACTTGCTTGCCACAGACTTCCAGAGAGGAGACCAGTGTCCCTGGAGCGATACTGTCCCAGCCTCTGAGGCTGGTCCGATTTGACAGGGCCTTGCGACCTGAGACTCCTGCTTGCTATCTTGTCCCTACGGCTCATGTGCCCTCTGCCCCACTGGCCTCATCAGATCAAACTCCCAGGCTGGTAGCTGACTAAGGCACCAGCAGCCCAAGGAGGACTCCCGTTGAGAGGGGCAGACAGACACACAGACACAGACTACAAAGCACAGGCACACTGAAGGGAACACCAACAGACGTGCACTTGCCGCCTAGCAATATGACTTGGTGGGTCCTGTGGCCCTGGGCTGACCTGGACACCACAGGGAGGCTGTCTTGGACCGGAGCTCAGTGCAGCATCTGCCCCCACTTCCCCTTCCTCCCAGCCTAGCCTTAGCAGCACCGTGTACGTCCATTCCACTGACACAAAAACAATTCCCCGTAGTCCTGCCTTCTCGGCATGATAACAAGAACACGGGGAGAGCCTGGTGACATCTTGGCCCAGCCAACTGCTGACGTCAGACAGTGCCCCTGCTCTGCCCAGCAGGTCCTGCGGCACATGGCGCCCAAGGTCAGGAGTCCCCTGGGCAGCTCCCAGGCTTCAGAAATTGCTCACTTATGACAAGGGGCCTCCAGTGTGTGTCTGGCTGCTTCTGCCGCCTGCCTGCACACTCAGGGGCTACCAGCAGGAGGCAGCCAACCAAAATCCCCCTCCCGCCCACCCCACCCCCCACCCCACTCCAGGCTCTCTGCAAAGCCCAAAGTCCAGGAGGGGAAGGCGTCGCTGAATCTCAGCTCGTCTTGAGGGAGTCTTCTCTGCGGTTCCCCATAGTGACGGCGCCACCGGGCATTGCACAGCGACACAGAGACAGACACGGAGCACACGCAGGGCTCGCGTGCAGGCCAGAGACGCTTACCTAGGGAGAGTCCATTGGTGACGGCAGAGGAGGTGAGGGCAAGGCCCCTGCGGGGGCTGCGGGACTCTAGGACGCTGTCGTCCAGTAGGTGCCTCGCTTTCTCCGATGGGAATGTCGCACTTTTACTCTCAACTACACTCAACTGACACATCATACTGGAAAACGGAAAGGAAGAGAGAAGGCAAAGCTCCTTATCTAGCGAGGAACAGCGGTCACGCCTGCCCAGCGGGCCGAGCAGACGGGCAGCTGCAGGAACAAGGCCTCCACCCAGAACCACAGAAGAAGCCCTGGCTGGGCCACTGTCGCGTGCGGTGACCTTGGGCAGGTCATTTTCTTTCCCTGAGCCTCAGTTTCCCCACCTGTCAGATGGAGATGACGGCACTTGTCCCGCTGGCCTCCCAGGACGGTTATAGTAAGGACTGTCCACATGAGAAGGGGCAGCATGACCCTGGGTCAGCTGGCCTGGCTCTGCAGTCACACACACCTGGTCCAAATCCTTGCTCCAATGCCCACACGTCCTGGTACAGCTCTTCACCTTGTTGCACCCCAGTGGACTCACCTTGTGATGCACGCACTAGGTGCACAACCACCTCAGAGGAGAGGCTGCCCAACAACAGGCCCAGAGCAAGCGCTGGGGGCAACGGCTGCTCTCCTCTGGCCCGTGAGCGCTCAGGACCTGCCTGGGCTCAAGACCTGCCTGGATGGGGCCAAGGCTTATGGCATGGCAGGGAGGAGGAAGGTTGGGGACAGAGAGAGGGGGAGGGATCGCTCTGTTCAGGAACCTGTGAGCCAGGCCCTGGGGACGCAAGCATGGCTGCACCCCAGCAATGCCAAGGACCCACACGTGTCTACCAGTTGTCAGCCCCACAGGATGGGCGGGCCGGCAGCTCACTGCTCTGCAGGCCTTCTGCAGCAAACAGGAAGCCTCTCAGCCCATGGGACACGAGGCACTTCATGCTGCCCTTGGTGACAGTCACTTGGTGTCCAATGGGCTCTGGGTCCCTCCACAGGCACACGAGGGGGCTTGGGCGAATTTTCTGGAATCCCACTGTTGTTGCCCTCTGCTTGGCATCTCTCCGCCATCGGCTACTGATGCCTGTCAATGGCACGGAGTGTGCTCTTCTCTGAGCCTGTTCCCGCATCACGAGCGAGTACCAACCAGTGATGCCAAGCAACTTCCGCAGAGGGTGCAGGGAGGGACTCAATTGGCAAGGGTTTCCCAGCATTCCTTCAGGCCACACCCCACAGCCCACCCTGCTCTAGAGCTCTTGGAGAAGACCTGCTCAGTCACCCACTTGTTGCCCAGGCTGTGGCTCTTCCTGTGTCTCGGGACCGGGGGCGTCGGGAGGCTGCCGGCAACGGAGGCATCCGGACAGGTGGGCCTCCGGCTGAACCGCGCAGAACTGGAGCCAGCAGAGGGGCCTGTGAACAAAGCAGGGACAGAGCACAGTGAGTGGCGTGACAGCGGCAGGGAGCTCTGTGGAGGCCAGGCCAGGGCTGGGGAGGCTGGGTGGGATGAGTACTTGGGCTGGCTGTCCTGACTAGGCCAGGTCTACACGAGTCCTGTGGCCTCCAAGTCTTTAGGTCTGCGCTCCCAGAGCAGGTAATGGACTGTCAGGCCATGTGTTCCCCTGTACACAGCACTCACGACCAGGCAGCCCCACTGTCTAATACCGAGATGAAGGGAGAGTGGCACAGGTAGATGTGGAGATGTGCAAACCAACAGCCTGGCCTTTGCTGGCATGAACTACCTAAAGCCACCTTGCTCGTGGGTGATAAGAGTTAAGACTTAGACGTATGTCTTTTGATTATAAGATTAGTGTCCTTCGATGATCCCTTCAGGACCAGTGGTGAGAGTGGCGATACTGGGAGGGTAGGGTGGAGGGAGATGTCAGACAGAATGAGAAATGACAAAATAATAATTTATAAATTATCAACGGTTCATGAGGGAGGGGGGAGTGGGGAGGGAGGGAGGAAAATGAGGAGCTGATGGCAGAGGCTTAAGTGGGGAGCAAATGTTTTGAGAATGATGAGGGCAATGAATGTATAAATGTGCTTTATACACTTGATGTATGTATGGATTGTGACAGATTAGTGTCCTTATAGATACACTGCTGTTCCACCGTTTCATTCAACAGACACAGAGAGCTCATCCGAGAGGTATTTAATTTGCACACTGAAAGCAGTTAGACAAGGTGGGGGTTCAGGTCCCAGGGCTGTCCCCTACAAGTTCAGCGGCCTTGAAGAAGACCCTTATTTCATTCCTTGAACCTCGGTTTCCTTATCAGGGAAGTGAGAATAATGAAAACTACCTTACAGGTTGTTGGGGAGCGCCGATGAGGAAGTCTCTGTGGAAAGCACGCTTACTTATTTCATTATCATTGGCTATCACTGCACCCCTTAAGCCACGTCATGGAACCAATGGGAGGGGGCATGGCAGTCAGGGAGCTGGTGGGGTGGAAGTAGGAGTCCTTCATGCTGGCCACATCACAGCCCCGCCCAGTGGGGCATGGACTCTCACCCCTGGTCCACTCATCACTTTCTGCGCCTTGGGCAGGGAGGCCTTAGGGAAGGGACCCCTGTGGCTAGCTTAGCTCTAGCTACCTGGGCCAGCGGCAGAGGCCAGGGCGTCCACAAAGGGGCTTGGCCACGTCCTGCACAGCACATCCAAGGGCCCCCGCTGCCAGGCTGCGCTTGGGAACTTGCCCTGGAGGCCTGTGAAACATGAGGTCCATTCAGAGCTTTTAGAGCCTCCACTACAAGTTCTTATAGATCCCTAAGTGACCTGGGCGCTCCCCTAGCCTTCAGTGGGCTTGGCGTATCTTCATGTTAATGCCCACAGCCTTCGAGCTGTGCAAATCCAGCTTCTTTTTGGTCATTCTGAAGATTCACAAGGCAGGGAAGCTCACATCACCTCTATCTCAGGATTCCCGTTCCCAGATGAATTCTCATTGGCCATTAGTTGCTGTGCCTCCACACACCACCTTATCCTTCATTTCCCTGAAGCCCCACCCCCCACCCCCACCGCACCAATCCCTCCCTTCATTAGGCCTTGATCAACTTTATCCATTTCCCCCCTAACAACTAGCCCCCACACAACCTCTCTGTCGGCTCCCACTCACTCACAGGCACCACGCGTTCCCACGTGAGAAAGCTGGTCGCGAGGGGTGCGTTCCTTCGCTTCATTCCTTGTCACCTTCAGTCCCCCCAGACGCCACCCTGCCAGTCTTGCGAGGTGGGGGCTTCCTTCTTCTTCAGCCCCACCTGTCACATCTTGAGACTCTACCTCTTCTCCTCCCTCTGGCTCCATCGTCAATTATAAGAAACACTCTAACCTCTCTTTTCCCATGAACTAAAGTCCTGTGGCCTGAGTCGTCCTTCCGGCCAGTGAGCTTCGGCAGACAGAGGGTCTATGGTCCATACTGCTCTGAATCTGCCCTCTCACGTGCTCTTCGGGTCACTGAAATCTGGTTTCTGTACCCACAGACACGCAGTGACCACTTCTCACCAGACCAGAGAGCACGCAGAGATCTTCTCACCACCGTCCTAGGCATCGGATGACGGCACTCCTTCTCGAAATGCCCGCGAGCTGTGAGCTGCTCCTTGCGCCTCTTCAATGGCTACCCCTCTGTCTCCTCCATGGCCCCTGGTCCTCCCACAACAGATATGCTGCACTGCAGCCTTCTCTTGCCAAGGCCGTTACGTCCACGATACCTGTACCTGACCTTCCCTACCCAAAACCCAACCCCAGCCCTCTGCTATGGAGTCAACTCCGACTGCTAATGGCCTGATAAAGGGTTTCCAGGACTGTGTTTTCATTTTATCTTTAACTGGGCGGACAGCCTCACCTTCTTCCTGCAGAGTGGCCGGTGGGCTTCAAAGCATCCACCTTGCAGTTAGCAGCCCAGCACCTCAGCACCTAGTGGATGGTGCCACTGGGCTCCTTGAACTTCCCTCGGGTACCCCAAATTCAACGCAGTCAAGGAAGAAGCTGGTGCCCCTTCCTCCTGTGAGTGTGCCCTTGGCTGGTGACATGGCTGTCCTGGGCTGTGGGGGTTGTCCCAGTGCTGATCTCACTTTCCCCACTTCTTTACTCACCGTATGCACTCGCCAAGCACCCCTCCCCCTTGCCCACCTCCCTCATCATCTTTATCTGTTCCCACCTGCAGTCAGATAACTCTCACACGCAACCCTGTACGGCCTCACGAGTGACTCAGAACACACAAAGCTCACAAGCTGGCCAGGTCATTTCCCTGCTTGAAACCATGTGTGCAATGGTGTTTAAGGCTCGGCCTGGTCTGGTCATTCAAACTGACCTTAAAATCCTCATGGGAAAGGGAAAGGCGCAAATAGCCAAGGCAAATATTAAAATAGCTGGATGATTTTGCCCCACCATATCTCCATCCCCAAACACACAGCAATAGAATTCCAACCAGTTTCAGGGCAGGGCAGGGGCAGAAAAACGGATCACTGGGTCAGAAGAGAGTCTAGAGCCAGCTTTCTACTGGTTGTGGCATAACAAAGCCAGTGGAGGAAATGAGGCTCTTCTCAACAAATGACGCTAGGACCATTGGGTTCTCTGTGGAAAAAATAAAATAAAATACCTGCTTCATATTATACAGGAGGGTTAATATCACAAACGTGGAAGGAAAAATGCCAGCGACTTTGGAAAGAAAACTTAGGAGGCTCTGTGTGACCTCCGGCTCAAGACCAAAAGCACCGATAAGAAAGGACAAAAAGGAGCCCACCCGACAGATTAACACCCAGGGAACAAACAGAGGCTGAGTGGTCAGGTCTCCGCACTGCTTTAAAACCAGTCAGAAAGAGACACGTCACACAGAGAAAATGGGTAAAGGCGGTGAACTGAACATCTACCGAAGAGGAAACCCAAATGATCAACAAATGTAAGGAAATACGCCTAATTTCCCTGTATCATTAAGGGCTGGCTAGGGTGGCTCCCCAAACCAACTCGCTGCCTGGAGCCCAGGCTGCTCAGAGACACCCTGGGGGTTCCGAGAGTAACTTTTTATGGGAATAGAGAGCCCCCTCTTTCTCCCAGAGCGGCTGGTGGTTTTAAGCTGCCGTCATGTGGCTCACAGTCCACCAGGTGAGCACTGCCCCACCAGGCGCAGATGGAAGGCAGAGGAGTAGGAACCCCACTCCAGGATTCGCATAAACACAAAGCATTTGGGAAGCCACAGGCGACAGTGAGGAAAGGTGATGGTTCTGTGTGGGGCCTGGTGACCGCAATTCTAGGTCCTACCCCGGAGCAACACCTGCAGGTGTTCACAAGCAGACAGGCGCGCGCTGCCTGTGAAGGCAGAACAAGGGCCGCATTCCAAGGGCACGATAGATAAGCCGTGGCCTATTCATTCAGCAAATTCTACGGGACAGAAAAACACCCGTAGACTCTGGAGCTGTAAGTTTCAATATAGATAAGTCATAAAACAGACAGTAAATGAGCATCACAAGGTACAAAAGGATATGTGACATGATGCTCTGTACATAAAATTTTTTAAAGCACACAAAATAGCAGTGCACATGTTTATGCATAGGCATATCCAAGGGAACTTTCAGCAAGCTTGTGAGAGAGTGGAAAGGTAACAGAATTCTCCAAGAAATGTTTTGAAGTCCACTCAGATGGTGTAATACAAAACCCTACGCAGGTACGACAGGTGACAGGACAGGACAGTGCAGGTGACTCCAGAGAGGAAAGGGAACGCAGACAGACTCTAGAGAGGAAGGGAGATGCAAGTGACTTTGGCTCTGACC